CACACATAATCTCAAAAGGCAAAGACCAGTCAGGAGCTACTACCACCGGTGCCTTGACCAGTTTCTCTTTCAAACACTCAAAAGCCTCTAAACACTCCTTTGAGAAGTCAAACGGTGCATCCTTCTCAAGGAGCTTAGTCATGGGTCTGGCTATCTTAGAAAAGTCCTGGATGAACCTACGGTAAAAACCTGCGTGGCCTAGAAAACTCCTAATGGCACGGACCGAAGTAGGGGGAGGTAGTTTAGAAATCACATCAACCTTAGCCGGATCAACCTCTATCCCCCTACTTGAAATCTTATGCCCTAGGACCACTCCCTCACTAACCATGAAGTGGCACTTCTCCCAGTTAAGTACCAAATTCACCTCTCGACACCTAACCAGGACTTTCTTCAAGTTCTCTAAGCACTCATCAAAAGTATCACCATATACAGAGAAGTCATCCATGAAAACCTCCATAAACTTCCCAATGAAATCCCCAAAAATAGCAAGCATGCATCTCATAAAGGTAGCAGGGGCATTACATAATCCAAACGCCATCCTCCGATAAGCAAAGGTACCGAATGGACATGTAAAAGTGGTCTTATCCTGGTCCTCGGGGGCTATGGGGATCTGGAAGTATCCCGACATCCCGTCAAGGAAACAGTAAAACTTATGCCCTGCTAGCCTCTCTAAAATCTGATCAATGAAGGGGAGGGGGAAGTGGTCCTTCCGGGTGGCGGCATTCAACCTTCGGTAATCAATGCAAACCCGCCATCCGGTGACCGTACGTGTAGCAATCAACTCATCTTTCTCATTCCTAACCACAGTCATCCCCCCTTTCTTGGGAACCACCTGGGTCGGGCTGACCCAAGGGCTGTCTGAAATTGGATAAATAATTCCTACATCTAGCAGACGGATGACTTCCTCCCTGACTACCTCCTGCATATTAGGATTCAGTCTCCTTTGTGGCTGCACTACCGGTTTAGCATTATCTTCCATCAAAATTTTATGAGTGCAGAAAACAGGACTGATTCCTTTCATGTCAGAAAGTTTCCGGGCTAGAGCTTCCCTTTGTTCACAAAGTAAGTCAAGACATGCAGATTTTTGGGATGGCTCAAGCCCGGATGCAAGAATAACAGGGAGGTCAGAATTATTATCTAGAAACGCATACTCAAGGTGGGAGGGAAGAGGCTTTAGATTTAATGGAGAAGGAGTAACAATAGAAGAATCAGTCTGACAGTCTTCCTTCTCCACCTTATCTAAGTCATCTTCCTTCCCCTTCACATCACTAGCATCACTTGAGTCCTCCTCCCTATCAAGCATAAGACAATCAAAACTGGGGAGGAGCTCAAGATCCTCTGCTGTCAAACTATCATCCAAAAGAAGATCAAAGAAGGCTTCATCAGAAAGCATGTTAGGAATGCAATCCTCCACCAAAGAATCAACCACATCCATGTAAAAACACTCACCACTATCTTGACAGGGCCTCTTCATTATTTTGGACATGTCAAAGGTGGCAGACTCATCCCCAACGCGGAGGACAAGCTTACCGTCTCCAACATCAATAAGTGCACGGGCAGTTGCCAAAAATGGTCTGCCCAAAATCAATGGTACCTCCCGATCCTGATCCATGTCCAAAATAACAAAGTCTACCGGAAAAATAAATTTGTCCACTTTAACCAACACGTCTTCGATAATCCCTTGGGGATATTTGACTGAACGATCAGCCAACTGAATGCACATACGTGTAGGTTTAAGTGGACCGAGTGCAAGCTTTTCATATAAAGCAAGAGGCATCAGATTAATGCTTGCACCCAAATCAGCCAGGGCCCTATCAAAAGTAAGATCTCCTATAAAGCAGGGAATAGTAAAAGAACCTGGATCCTTAAGCTTCTTCGGCAGATCTGTCCGTATCACCGCTGAGCACTCCTCATTAAGCGTCACAGTAGACGCTTCTTCCAGCCTCCTCTTGTTCGTGAGCAAATCCTTCATAAACTTCGCGTACTTCGGCATCTGAGCTAGTGCATCCACGAATGGTAAGTTAATCTGCACTTGTTTCATGAGATGCAGAAACTTACCAAACTGGTCACTATCGTTCTTCCTAGTCAATCGCGCCGGATAGGGGAGAGGTGGGGTGTAATTCTTGACCGGAACGGACTGTTTTGGTGCAGCCGCCACCTCTCTTCCCTCATCTTTCTCCTTCTCTTCCTCCCGGACAGCCGGTTCAACTTGAACTTCATCGGGCTTCTTTGTTATGGCAGCAGGTTCTAGCTCTTTTCCGCTCCTCAAGGTCACAGCCTGAACATGTTCTCTGGGATTTGGTTCGGTATTACTAGGGAGGGATCCCTGAGGCCTCTCAGATAAAGCCTTTGAGATCTGCCCCATGTGAGTCTCCATGCTCTGCATCCTTGCCTCAAACATTTGCATCCTTGAGTCGGCTTTCAGCTGATTTTGTGCTAATTTGTTGAGCACTTCTTCCAAGCTAGAAAATTTTTGCTCAGTCTCTTTTCTAAAGCTTCCTTGCGCCGGCTGAGGAGCTTGTTGCTGGCCTTGAGGTATCTGGGGCTGATTATAGCTTCTAGACTGCTGCTGATTTCCCTGCCCGTACTGCCCTTGCTGCTGCTGTCCGTAGGGCTGATTATAGTAACCCTGTCGCTGATAATACATCGCATCCACTTGCTCTACTCCAGGGGCTGCCGAGTGTGCCATCATTGTGCATTCATGTGGCGAATGGAGTCCCCCACACATAGAACAAGAGGGACTAATAGGAACGGGGGCTACCATATTCACACTGGGCACCGAGAGAGCAAGTTCCGTCTTCTTTTGATTGTCTTCCACTGTAGTAGCAAGCTTCTGAATCAAACTGGTCAAAGCATCTACCCTTGCAGAAAGGGCAGAATTCTCACTGATCTCGTACAATCCCGGGGCCTTCTAGTGAGGTGTGTCCCGAGAACTGTACCATGAAGCATTATTAGACACAATCTTCTCCACTAATTCTTCCGCAACCTCAGATGGCAACTGAGGAAAAGCTCCACCTCCCGAAGCATCAAGCATCATCTTTCCTTCATTGTTGAGTCCACTATAAAAACAAGATAGAACCTCGCAATCAGTCATCTTGCCTTGAGGGCAAGCTCTTCTCAGCACCTTGAATCTCTTCCACGCCTCAGCTAGTGTCTCCAAAGAACCTTGCTTAAATTCCTGTAGCTGCTTCTTCAACTTTATGGCCTTTGATGTTGGGAAGTATTCTTTGATGAAGGCCTTGTGCAGCTGATCCCAAGTCTGAATGTGGTGATGCGGATTGCTATCCAACCACCTCTGCGCGTCATCCCTCAAAGAGAAAGGGAATAATAGCATCCGTACCTGATCATCATCTAGCCCAGGAATCTTGAAAGTCTGGCACATCCTCAGAAATTTGGTAATGTGTGCCACTGGATCTTCCGTAGGGCTCCCTCCAAACTGATTATTTAGGACCATATTGATCACCGCCGGCTTGATCTCGTAACGGGGTGCAGTAATCCCCGGTACCTGAATGCTGTCATACTCTGTGATCTCGGGGGCTAGGAAGTCTGCAATGCTCTCTCCTTGATAGAGTGGATTGTCATGTGGGACATAGTTGTGGTAAGGAGGAGCTTGATATCTCGGCTGATGAACTGGTTGGGGTCGAATGGGTTGTGGACGGATGACATTTGGCTGCGGTTGGGGCTGATGGAATTGATGATATTGGGGTTGGAAAGGCTGATTTTGTGGCTGAGTAGGGGGTGGATTTTGTGTGACTGGCGGTTGGTTCTGTCTGGGCTGAAAGACTGGAGTGGTTTGCCCTAGACCTTGCATCCCAAAGGTTTGGTTTTGAAAAGTGGTTTCGGGAGCAATAGAAGTATTTTGGAAGAGCTGATAGAGTGGTGGAAGATTTAGTTGTGGAGTGGACTGATTTTGGGGGAAGAATGGGGTACGAAGATTTTGATACCCCGAATAAGCTCTAGGTGAATTTTCTTGTGAAGACTGGGGAGAGGTATTAATATAAAAATCCAGATTACCAGAAGTGGTTTGGACCTCAGACGTCCCAGCTATTCCAGATGCGGATGGTTGATCCATGGTTGCTTCCTTCTGTTCTCTAAAGGCCTTGCGATTCTGCTTAGCTAGCTTCTCGATCTCAGGATTAAGAGGGACTAGTGATTCTCCCTTCTTAGAGCGTGTATGCATAAACAGATCTGACCTGCAAGGTTAGTAGACAAAAATCCTACGAAAAACTAAAAACAAGTCGCTAAAATTAATTAACCCTTAAATCCGACACCGTCCCCGGCAACGGCGCCAAAAACTGATGTGAGTTTTCTCGCACTTAAAATAGTTGTAGAAAAGTGGTGTAAAGTACGAGTATCGTCTCCACAGGGACGGACAAAAGGGAAATAAAGATTAACTAAATTCAGCGATTAAAAAGAAATAAATAAAATAAAAGTGCAATTGTGCGAGATTGGTTGGTTGAATTAAAAATAAAACTAATGCAGATGAACGATTAAAATAAAAGTGGTTTCTTCTCAATTAACGACGAAGGGAATAGGAATTGATTCCGGGGTAACCAGATTTCTGGCAGATCAGGCTTAATTACATGAATTTAATTTAATTGAGCCTAGCTAATCATTACTAAGTTCTTACCGCTCTCGCGGCGTAGAGTACAATAATTTAGGGGACCAGGCTGATCTCTCATGCGACAGGATCCTAAATTATTGCCAAGACGAGCGAGCTTACGGCCCCTTAATCGCTACTAATCTCTTAGCGAACGATTAAGTATGTGTGAATGTGTCCTAGAACAAATTAGATCTCTCATAATTCATTCTACATGCAATTGTAATTCTAGCTGCAGTCTAGGTTACAAGAGATATCAATTAAATTATCCAAACACAAATTAAACGGCATTCATGCAATTAAACCGACAAGAATCTAGCCATACATCATGATTAACCCCTTCATCAATCCCAAATCCCTAATTAAACTACTCACAATTCATAATTGAAGAATCAACAGAATTGAGATGAATAGAAATAATTGTCATTAATTAAAAAGATGAACTTACAAATAATCCCAGGGTCTTGGAAGAAAATAGCGTAAAAACGTTGTTAAATTCGTCCCTAGGCCTTTCCGTAATGTTCGTAACCCCGAAAAGTGGGTATGGAGGCCTTATTTATAGAAAACAGTAGAGTTCGAGCTGAAAAAGGATAAATCGGGGCCAGGCACGGTGCCAGGCACGATCGTGCCTGCGACCGTGCCTGCGGAAGAGACGCGCAAAAATTATGCAGACACGATCGTGCCTGCACCGGACACGATCGTGTCTGGCTGCCAGTAGCTTCACGTTGATTTAGATGGCAGGCACGATCGTGCCTGACCTAGGCACGGCCGTGCCTGCCCTTTTCTTCATCATTTTTCTTCGTTTCTCGTTCCGAATGCTCCCGAATGCCTACGACGTCGATCCAAATGCTCTTTCTTCACCAGAATTTCGTCGTGAATCTCCCGGTGGCCTCCAAATCTTCCAAATCTCTCTCGAACGCCTTCAAATCCTTCCCGAATGCCTCTCAAGCGCCGATTGCCGGACTTTAACTTCTTCAAATCACCTCCAAATGCAATGAAGCTTGATCCAACGCCTGTTAAACACAACTTGAGCCAAAATTGAGACTTGCAACGCCTTAAAGCCAGGAAAATCATCAAAATCCGACTTGAACACGCATCGAATGCGTGTCTAAATACGGACTTATCAAATATACTTTAGAATATTTTAGGAATATAGTCTAGGATATTATTATTGTATAGAATCTTAAAGGAATATTCTATCTTTGTAATGTATATTTATAGGGACTTAACCCTCCAATGAAATATACAACAAATCATTCTCTTCTCATTACTATTCTATCCTTAATTCCTATAACACATCATAAACTGTGATCCGTAGACAGACCAGATTGAAATAGGCCAAATCCATGATCTATAGTGCTGCTCTTGCAAATTTACAGAAATAAGTACTCTGTATTAAATTTTACAACAGTCTAGCTTGAAAAAGCCAGAAAAGAAACCCTGTAGGAAAGAAACAAGGGCGGGCAGAGTCTTGTTGCAAAAAGTGAAGTTACATCTTCTTACAACACAACTGGCATCCAAGAGTATCCACGACTGCAATGACCTCTTCTTAAATGTTAATCATCTGTGCCAAGGAGGGAGCTCTCAACCAGTGAAGAAAGGTATATTTCCATTTCTGAGGCAAAGCATAAGGCCTCAAACCACACACATCACTGGGAACAAAAGGGGCATTCGTAGCATAAAACACGACTCTCCTCATCCCGTAAAGGAATAATGATATAGACATAGAATCACCATCGTTCTTGGTCTTTCTAGGTGAGGTGACGTTCCCGTAGAGGAAGGCACAAAAGGTTGATAAAAAAAAGTTGGAAAAGAGATGAGATAAGCATAGACTTCCAGTCGATTAGCCAATGATACCCATTCCCTCCCAATGTGTCAAATACACATCTTTTCCTTCAAGGCCACAGCCTGCTCAGAATAATAACAGTATGCAAGTAACAGGCATGGTATGATGTGAGGTGGCATAATGCTGGAAAAGCAAACCGGGACAGAACTTGAGCCTGAAACTTCAGTGTCTGCACTGATTTTTTTAGATACCTGAATCTAAAAAAAATACTCCGTACAATTCAGCATCAGAGCAACAAAAAACACACTCACCTTGGAAATGCTATCTCTACAACTAACTGTGTCATAGGCTCTCATCTTACATTCTTACATTCTTACATTCTTACCCAAGCTAAAACACAAAAGCAATCATATCACTGTTATGTGATTTTAAAAGCATTGCCTTTTATTCACTTCCATCATTCAAACCACATGAATTTATAAATCGGTGATCATTATCCCAGTTGCCTTATTATGAAAGATTCTAAATTATGCTCCGTAATATGAAATATTCAGCTATAATTCAGATACATTTTGAAAAATACTAGTTGCACCACAACTAGTAAACAGTTGGGGGTCGACATATGAAATTGGACTTACATACTTTAGGGCCCAAAAACGAAATTACACTAGCAAACAAAAACAAACATACGCTGGTTCAGCAGTAAGTAACATACAGTGGCTTTTGGTTTGGAATATAAACTTACCTTTATACTCTCCTGTTTCTCTACTCCCCACCCACCACCACTACTCCAACTTTGTCGTAACTGAAATGAGAACCGATATGAAACAAAGGGAGTATATATCTTTATTTTTTCATTTTAAATTCCATTTACACTACTAATTCTACAAACATACTGTATATAATTATATATAGACACATTAGCCTTAATCTTCAGGTCAGTGTCAAATACATTTTTACCTCACCAGTAGTCATTGCAAGAGCAGTAGCCGCCACGAAAGTGATGGAAGCGAGTGCGGTCTCTAATAACTACCACCCAGTTGTACACCCCAGAAAGGGCCTTGGCAAAATTGTGGCAGTCACACAAATTCTGAGGTCTTTGGCAACTCTTGTTGTAGTTCCAGGTGGAGTTGACAATACGCCAAAAGCAATCGCCCACTTCTCGCTGTGAAAAGATGATCTAAACCTCTTTTCTTCCACGTCTGGTGTTATTTCAGCCACATATCCACCAATTCTAAGTTGTTTATTGATCCAACTTCTCATAGACCTCACCTCTCATAGAAGTATGGAGTCATATGAGGCTCTATAAAATTTTTGCGCAACATATGTCCAATTAGCAAGGTTTTCAAGACTTCGAAAAATGCAAACTTCTAAGACATGTTGTATAGCATTGTCCCAAGAACTCCCAAAAAACTAACCGCGTATCCGACCCCTATGCTTGCATAAAACTCACCACCAAGAAGTGTATCCTTTTCTTCTCTATCAGAATCTCCTTCTTCATTGAATTGAGGAGCAGTAGGACGAGCAGATTCTTCTCTTGAACAGCTGTTGGTGAGTGGATCTCCACATAGCGCGGGATTCCCCGTGTAGGCCGATGCATTGAAGCTCTGAAGTTGAGTGCCTTTCGGAATTTTGCCAGATAAGTTATTGTTGGACACGTTGAGAACGCTTATGCCAGGAATCAAGGCAAGGCTTTGAGGAATCCTACCAGACAAATGGTTAGTAGATAAATCAAGAGTATCTAAGCGTGCCAAGTTACCAATCTTCGGAGGAATGTGTCCCGTTAGATTGTTTTGAGATAAGTTCAACGAGACCAACCCTACAAGGGATGTGATTTCAGTTGGAATTTCACCACCCAACATGTTGGACGATAGATCTATGCTCTTTACATATCGTAACGTACTTCCAAATTCAGAGATGACACCTTTCCACCTAATGGCTATCACGTCATCTATTGACAATCCAAATGATCCATTGTTTGAAACATCAGTGTGAAACAATATCAGATTAGTAGTGGCGGCAATGCTATTATTGCTATCACCTCCTGTTACAGTTATCATTTGGGTGAGATTAGAAAGACATTTGGGAAGAGTCCCTGATATGTGGTTCAAGGACAGGTCCAACAACTGAAGAGACTGGAGATGGCAAAGACTTGTTGGTACACTTGCATTGAAGTTGTTTTTTGTTAGCACAAGTATCACAAGTTGTGTTAGACTTTCACCCACCCAATCCGGTACTGATCCAAACAAGTTGTTGTGCCCCAGATCTAAAGATACCAAGTTGGAGCAATTTTTAATGGATGAAGGTAGAGGGCCTGTAAAATTATTATTGTCAAGATGCAATGTCTTCAGGGAAGTCAATGACCCAATGGATGTTGGAAGAGTCCCAGATAGATTGTGATTGTTTCCCAGGTACAGAACTTCCAAACTAGAGAGATATGACCAGCAATCCGGAAGTGTTCCGGAAAGTTGATTGGATGAGACATCCAAAAGCTGCAAAGGAGAAAATGCCTTGACATCACATAGGGAGTTGAGGTCGGTGAAGTTATTCTGAGAAAGAAACAGTAATTTCACATTAAAGAAACGGGGTGGAATGGCACCTTCCAGTTGATTGGAACTCATATCAAGAACATCACCGCTGACTGATGCTTGAGCACCAATTTCAATTTTTCCCTTGATTCCGTTATTAGAAATATTAACTTCCATAAATCCGGTAATAGGTGTATTCCAAAACCAGGAGGGGATTGAATCCGAGATGGCGTTATTGGAAATGTCAAGATTGCTAATGTTGACTTGCGTTCTAAGCCATTGGGGAACCGAGGTCCCAAGTTGCATGAACGGAGGTCTATACGTTCCAATTGGAAAGGAGGAAGCCAAGTCGAGGTGAGATTGAAAGTGAAATTGTTAGAAGATAAGACCAGGACGCGTAGCTTGGAGAGTGTAACAAGGTGATGCTCCGAAATGACCCCACCGAGGAGGCTATAACCAATAGTTAATTTAATTAGAGAGGGGAACTTGGTGAGATCAGGAAATGACCCCGTCAGTCGGTTTCTTGATAAATGCAGTTCCTGCAGAGAGTGGTTTGAGCATAGTGTGGATATGATAAGGTTCCCACCAAGACTGTTGTAATCCAAGCTCAAGACCTTCAGAGTGCATATGTTCCAAATGAATTTAGGTATTTCTCCTTCAAGTCTATTATCCCCAAGGTCAAAGTGTTCAAGTACTGACATAGTCCCTAGAGCTTCGGGAACAGAACCTTCTAAGGTATTACCTGAGAGAGCAAGGTATGTAAGGGCAGGCATGCTATTTCCAAAAGTTTCAGGAATGGTGCCCACAATTCCGGTCCATCTAAGATTTAGATGTTGAAGGGAGAGCATAGTGTTGTTCCCAATCAATGATGAGATGCTCTGGTTTCCCAGCAGTTCATAGTTATAACTGAGATCCAAATACCTCAAATATTGCAGCTCAAAGAATGGAAGGCTGGTGGTATACTTCCCACCACCTTTCGCGGACAGACCCATACTAGTCAGCTCAATCCGGATGACATGACCCGCAGCGTCATCGCACCTGACCCCCTCCCAATCGCGGCAGCAATCTTCACTGTGGTTGCCCCAAGACCTTAGCTTGTCCTCTTCGTCAAGAACGTTGTGCTTGAACTTGAGGAGCACTTCTCCTTCTCCATCAAAGCATTTACTGGCCACACTCATCGCCAGCAGCAAGCTCACTCCCACTGCAATTCCCATTTCCATCGACGGCCATAACAATGATATGCCCTTTCCCATTCTCAATTTCCTCTGCTTTCTTTTAATTATTTTTTTTGTGATTTGGTAGCTAACTACAAAGCTGATAAATAGCTATTCAAGTAATTAGCTTCCTCTTGTGTAGGTTCGTGTGTGTGAATACATGCATATATTTCCCACCAGCGAATAATGTTATTACGACTCAAGAGTATGACCAGCCAACACGTTTTGGTCGGCACATCACATATTCACATGTGTGTACTGTGTAGGGTCTCGCTATGCACACACCTTTATCAGTGCGGTCAAATTAATAATAAAATTCTTGGTCACAATACTTGCTAAGCAGATGGATATAATGCTGTATAGGGAAATTGTAACTCACAACTTGTGTCAGGTAGTCCCCATATCCGTTGCTTGACTTTAGGACCATTGAGAATTGCAAACTCTTGGCCCATAATTTTCACATTGGCTGAAGGTAGAAAATATACAACAATGTTGTTTGTGTTAGTGGCATAAGTAGTGATGACTCAATTTGAAATGATTATTATAGTTTTTTAAAAGAGATTCTTGAGCTGGAGTGGATGGAAATTGATTAGGGAATTAGGAGTAAATAATTAATTAAATTAATTAATCAATTAATTAGGGATATGAATGGAATGATAAGGTCCTATTTATGGAAAACGAAACATATGGTCCCATTCTTGGAAGAATACTATGTTCTGTTTCTACTCAAAGCAATTTTCTTTAATGTAAATTTGTAATCACCTTTATTTGCAAGGCAACTAGGGACAACTTATTAATTCAATTAATTAATCAATTAATTAGGGATAGAAATGGAATGATTAGTTTTATTTGAGGAAAATCAAACATATGATTCTGTTTTTGGAAGAATAGCATCTTCTATTCAACTCTAAGCAATTTTCTCATAATTTGAATTTGTAATCACCTTCAACGATATCCTCCACATACAATAGAATGTTTTAATAGCGCATAGAATAGAATGTTCTAATAGGAACACAAGTATGATACGTAGTACTTCCTCCGTCTTATTCTAAGATTCTCACTTTCATTTTTTAGACGTCTCATATAAAGATTTTTATTTCTACTTTAGAGAACAAGTAACACTCAATGACAATTTAATATCAATTATTAAAAATAATACTCCTATATTTATAACTTCACAAAATATACTTGAATTACCTTATTTAATTATTATCTAAATAACCTTATCATTTTACAATGGGACCATTTAACCAGAACACAGGTAGTATAATTTAGCTATTACAAGGTTAAAAGCTGAGGAATAACCCAATGCTCGTAAAAAATGCTGACATTTTAAAATGAGTAATTACATCATAAACTGTGATCCGCAGAGAGACCAGATTGAAGTAGGCCAAAATGCCAAATCCATTATCTATACTTCTATAGTGCTGTTCTTACAAATTTACCGAAATAAATACGAGGTATTAAATTTTACAATAGTCTAGCTTGAAATAGCCATAAAAGCAACCCCTGTAGGATAGAAACTAGGGCGAGCAGAGTCCTGTTGCAAAAACTGAATTTACATCTTCTTACAACACAACAGGCATCCAAGAGTATCCACGACTGCAAAGGCCTCTTCTCAATCATCTGTGCCTAAGAAAAGTATATTTCCATTTCTGAGGCCCAGCAAAAGGCCTCAAGCCACACACATCACTGGAAGAAAAATGGGGCATTCGTAGCATAAAACACGACTCTCCTCATCCGGTAAAGGAATAATGATATAAACATGACCACTATCGTTCTTGGTCATTCTTGGTGAGGTGACGTTCCCGTAGAGGAAGGCACAAAAGGTTGATAAAAAGAGGTTGGAAAAGAGATGAGATAAGCAAAGACTCCCAGTTGATTAGCCAATGATACACACTCCCTCCCAATGTGTCGATGCACATCTTTTCCTTCAAGGCCACAGCCTGCTCCGAATAATAACAGTATGTAAGTAACAGGCATAGTATGATGTGAGGTGGCAGAATGCTGGAAAAGCAAACCGGGACAGAACTTGAGCCTGCAGTCCAGAATTCATGGACTGCATTGACTTTGGCCTCCACCAAGACTTAGATACCTGAATTTAAAAAAAAATACATTTTAATAGCGGAGTAACAAAAAACACACTCACCTGGGAAATGTTATCTCTACAACTAACTGTGCATAGGCTCTAATCTTACATTCTTACCCAAGCTAAAACACAAAGAAATCTTATCACTTCCATCACACAAACATCATAAATTTATATATTGGTGATAATTATCCCAGTTGCCTTATTATGAAAGATTCTAAATTATGCTCCGTAATATGAAATATTCTGCAATAATTCAGATACATTTTCAACAATACTAGTTGCATCACAACAACATCTAAGCCTTAGTCCCAAAAGAGTTTGGGGTCGGCTAACATGAATTGACATATGAAATTGGACTTACATACTCTAGGGCCCAAAAACGAAAGTACACTAGCAAACAAAAACAAACATATGCTGTTTCAGCAGTAACATACAGTGGCTTTTGATTTGAAATACGTAGTAGCACCTTACCTTTATACTCTCCTGTTTCTCTACTCCCCACCCACCACCACTATATACTTTGTGCTAACTGAAATGAGAACCGATATGAAACGAAGGGAGTATATATCTGTTTTTTCCGTCTTGAATTCCATCTGCAGTACTAATTCTACAAACATACTGTATATAATTATATATAGACACATTAGCCTTAATCTTCAGCTCACAGTGTCAAATACATTTTTACCTCACCAGTAGTCATTGCAAGAGCAGTAGCCTCCACGAAAGTGATGGAAGCGAGTGCGGTCTCTAATAACTACCACCCTGTTGTACACCCCAGAAAGGGCCTTTGCAAAATTGTGGCAGTCAACACAAATTCTGAGGTCTTTGGCAACTCTTATTGTAGTTCCAGGTGAAGTTGACAGCACGCCAAAAGCAATCGCCAACTTCTCGCTGTGAAAAGATGATCTAACCCTCTTTTCTTCCACTTCTGGTGTTATTTCAGCCACATATCCACCAATTGTAAGTTGCTTATTGATCTCATCCAACTTCTCATAGATCTCACCTCTCATAGGATGTGAAACATCGTCTGCAATAAATTCATGGATTTTCCCTTTCATCTCTATTGTACTACAAGCTGGAGTTGTATAGATTCCCTTTTCTTTCATCAATTTCCGCAAGTAAACCACCTTATCATCACAATGACCGCCAAAAGAACTATACGTATTCAACAACAACACATAATCTCCGGCTTCTTCGGCCCTCAGCTCAATCAAATGTTCAATAACTCTTTCACCTAGGGCGGAAGCACGATGAATTTTACAAGCTGCTAATAGTGTCCTCCACATTGTTGCATCTGGTTTGATTCTCATTGATTTTATAAATTCATATGCCTCCTGGAGTAGACCTGCTCGGCCCATGAGATCAACCATACACCCATAGTGATGAACGTTAGGCATAATCCTAAATTGTGTACTCATTCTGTCAAAGAACATCCGTCCTTCATTTAAAAGACCAGAGTGACTACAAGCGGAGAGAACCCCAGTAAAAGTGTGACAATCTGGTGCAATACCTCCTGCTTGCATCTCTTTAAAAGCATCAATGGCATCTCTGCCATAGCCATTGCTTGCCAAACCCGAAATCATTGCACTCCAAGACACAACATCTTTCCTGGGCATCTTTGTGAACACCTCGTAGGCCTTATCAGCACACCCACAACGTGAATACATTGTTATAAGCATATTACATATATTCATTGAATCTCCATAAGCATGTTCTACGATGTATTTGTGAACTCTTTCCCCAAACTCCAACGCGTTTAGCTGTGCACACACCTGAAGTGCTAGCAGACAGGTGACGTCATCTGGTCGGCACACATTTGAATTCTGCATCATCATATCGAATACGTGTAAAGCATCGTGACGGCGGCGATTTTTCATGAAGCAAGCTATCAACATGTTCCAAGAAACAGTGTCCTTTACATACATTTCATCAAACACTTTGTAAGCGTCACTATACTTCTTACAAGATGAGTAAAAATCCATCAAAGATGTGAGCAAATGACTGTCAGATTGATGTCCATCCCTTAGAACACGCGTGTGAATCTGCATTCCTCCATTAAAAGAACCAACCTTTACCGCACATTTGATTGCAAACGACAGTGACAAAGCGTCTGGAGGTATGCCCAGGGGAAGCATTTCCCGATACAGCTCTAACCCTTCCTTGGGCAGGTTCCCAATCGCATAAGCCCTGATCATTATATTGTAAGATGACGCATTCCGTTGAGGGAATTCATCAAAGATCCTCCGAGCATAACCCAAATCCTGAAAGGGCGGAAGTGAGATGCGAGTCAAGAAAGCCGAGAAAACCCTGGGGTCACGACATAGAGAAGTGCGTATGGTTTGAGCATGGATTTGGAGCAGATGACGTGTTTGAGTAGTCGATTTGACAAGAGAAATCAGGTTTTCATCATTTTGAGGGCTTCCTGATAAAGAGTTGAATTTCTTAGGAAAAGAGATACGAGGATGAATTGACCTCATGGCTATTTCCACGGCTACCTATTGTTTAATGTTTGTGGGGAGTTTTTTAAATCAGGGGAATGTTTGGTATGAAAGACAGACACGAGTGTGGCACGAAATGTACGTAATACTAGTACGGAGTATATGTTTTCCATGTTTTATACTACTTCCTCTTTGTCAAAATAATCGTTCGAAATTCCTTTTTAAGTTGTATCAAACTCATTTCTATTTTTGAAGAGGAATCTATACTAAAAACTTTCAGTTTTTATAAAATCTACTCAAGGCTCAAAGTCTCAAACTACATGAAAAATAAAATGTGACGAATTATCTTAAATTTCAAAAAAGGAACAAAAAGAAAAATATACCCCTCCGTCCCATAAAATAGTTCCCGCATTGACTTGGATCGGAGTTTAAGAAAGTGAGAATAAAGTGGAAATGTATGGTTGTGGTTGAGTAAGAAAAAAGTAAATGAATGGTAGTCACAAAAAGCTATCCAAAAAGGGAAATGTGAACTATATTTTGGGACGACCCAAAAAGGAAACTGAGAACTATTTTGCGGGACGAAGGGAGTAATTCGGAGTAGGGGTGGGCATAACGGTTTGGTTTAACCGAATCGAA